ATAAAAAAAAAAAAAACTCTTAATTCTTAACAAAATAAATGATTTCCTTTTTTACCTCTTTTTCTTTAAAACTGATGGTAGAATGTTCTTTATCGATTTTCTTACAAAATACAGACATAATGACATATGATGGGGTTTGATACCTGTGAAGCGTAATGCAAAAAAAAATCATAATGAAATATTTGAATAGAAGCAAATATGAAATTAAATGATGTTGATAATATACCAGTCATGTCTGCATTGTATAATTTCCTCCGTTTCCTGTTTAATTAAAAATTAAAAAAAAAATTGGTAAAAAATATTATAATGACGAAAAATAATATAGATTACTAAACCAGAAAATTACATACCTCCTTTTTACTAGATCCGACAAATAAATGTTTACCATTTTTACAACCTTTAATCTTTAAGAATTCCTCAAATTCCAATACCTTGCGTGAGCAACAACTCCAACCTAAAAATATGGTGATTCAGAAAAATGTCGAACTGATAAAGTATAGACCAATCACTAAATTCAAACTCATATTTACCTTTGCTACCTTCATGAAAGATCGGTGTACCAGGATGATAAACGCATTCTGCTTGAGGTCCTTCATTACGACTAGTTGCATCATCTACATAAGGAATATTACAACCCGACCTTTTACAAACTGCTCCAGGAGTAACTGGAATACTAAGGTCATCCTCTTCCGGCTTCTCTTCTTGCGGAGTAGGTTTAGCCTTTTGAGGAGGATCTACAGGTTTTGTTTGTATTGGCGTGTAAGTTGGACCGCTATTATATGTTTCAACTCCATTTTGATCAATTATAGGTTCAGTCGAAGGTTTAGAAGGAACTGTTTCCGATTCTTTTGAAGTTTCATTTGATTCGGGTGGAGGTGGAACTTCATTACTGTGCCGACTAATTTAAACATGTAAAACATGTAAAAATTGTTTACTAATTTATTTATCGGGACAAATTCATAGAAATTGATAAAATTGAATAGTTACCCTTTAGTACAGCCAGGAATAGCGAGAAATTCATCAAAAGATGTAACTCTTCGACTACAACATTGCCACCCCTTTAATCCTAATGTAAAAAATAATTTTTATAGTGAGGATTAAATTCATTTGATCATTTTTTTTATCGGCTTAAATCGTCACAAACCTTCATGAAAAATTGGTGCGGATGGATGATAAAGACAGGCTGATTCATGATTATCCTTTTCATCATAAGTTTTTTCACAGCCTTTATGAACGCAAATCGGCATTTTGATTTTGTTTTTTTTTTTAATTGATTTTAATTTCAAGTTAAGGATAAATGGACAGATTTAATTATTAATGTTTCGGATCATTTATAAAAGTAGAACAATGAAAAATTTCGGTTATGCAGGTATATCAATTATAGTAAATAAA